CTTTTTGGTTATTATGAATAAAGGTGCTATAATGTTTGCATACAAGCTTTTGTGTGAACACATTTTTCATTTTTCTTGGATGTATACCTAGTAGTAGAATTGGTGAGTCATATGGTAACTCTATATTGAACCTTTTGAGGAATGGTTTTTCAAAAGCAGCTGCACCATTTTAAGTCTTATCAGCAAAATAAAAGGGTTCAAATTTCCCTACCTCCTAGCTACCACTTTTTATTGTTTGACATTTTTATTATAACCATCTTAGTAAGTGTGTAATGATATCTCGTTATGGTTTTTATGTGCATTTCCCTAATGACTAATGCTGTTGAACATTTTTCATGTGTTTATTGGCCATTTGTGTATCTTCTTTTAAAAATGTCTATTAAAAGTAGTTGCCCATTTTTCTGTTGCACTGTCTTTTTTTAACATGGAGTTGCGAAAGGTCTTTTATGTTCTGGATAGACTAGTCCCTTATTAAATATATGACTTGCAAATATTTTCTCCCATTCCATGAGCTGTCTTTTAACTTTCTTGATAGTGTCTTTTGAAGTACAAAAGTTTTCAATTTTATGAAGTCTAATTTATTTATTTATTTTGTTGCTGCTCATGATTTGATGTCATGTCTAAGAAACCATTGCCTAATTCAAGGTCAAAAAGCTTTCTGTTTTCTTGTAAGAGTTTAATAGATTTTGTTATTAAATTTAGGTCTTTGATCTGTTTGGAGTTAATTTTTGTATGTGGTGTGAGTGATACAGTTTTATTCTTTTGCATGTGGACATCTAGTTGTCTCAGCACCAAATTTTTGACACAACTATTTTTTTCTCCATTGAATATCCTTGGAACCCTTCCAGCAAATCTATTGACCATAAACTTGAGGTTTATTTCTGGACATTCAATTGTTTCCTAGTGCTCTATATATCTGTTTTTATGCCAGTACCACATAGTTTTTAATACTGTAGCTTCACAGGAAGTTTTGAAATTGGTAGTATGAGTCCATCTTTGTTCTTTTTCAAGTTTATTTAAGCTATCTAAGTTTCCTGCACTTTCATATACATTTTAAATTAATTGTCTATTTCTGAGGAAAAGACAGCAAACAGCTGGAATTTTTATAGGAACTGCATTGATTATGTAGCTCAATTATTATCTTAATATTAAATCTTGCAATCCATGAACATGGGACATCTTTCCATTTATTTAGATCTTCTTTAATTTATTTCAGCAATGTTTCACAGTTTTCAACACACAAGTCTTAAACTCCTTTTGTTGATTTTGTTTGTAAATATTTTATTCTTTTTTATACTACTATAAATTGACTTTTTAAATTTTTTCTTTCAGATTGTTCATTGCTACTACATAGAAATACAATTAATTTTTGCATAATTATTTTGTATTTTTCAACTTTGCTAAGCTTGTTTATTAGCACTAATAGCTGTTGTTTTGTACCTTCCCTAGAATTTTCTACTTATAATATCATGTCAGCTGCAAATAGAAATAGTTTTACTCTTTCCTTACCAATTTGGATGCCTTGTATTTCCTTTTCTTGCCAAATTACATGGAAAAATCTCCAGTACAATGTTGAAAAGAGTAGTGAGAGTGAACATCCTTGCCCTATTCCTGATTCTGGTGGGAAAGCTTTCAGGCTTCTACCATTAAGTACAATGCTAGTTGTGGGGTTTTTGTAGATGCTATCAGGTGGGGAATTTTTTTTTCTATTCCCGGTTTGTTGAATGTTTCTATCATGAAAGATTGTTGAATTTCATCAAATACTTTTCCACATCTACTGAGATGATCACATGAGTTTTGTCCTTCATTCTATTAATATGGTGTATTATGTTGATTCATTTTCACATAATGTAACAACCTCACATCCTAGGATAGATCCTACTTAGTTAAGTATGTAATCTTTTTTTCTGTCTTTGGATTCAGTTGACTATAATTCAGTGAACCGATATTTTCCAAATGAACAAGGAATGATCCTATAAAATCATACATAGGTAAACTACCTATTTAAAGTACAAGATAAAATCCAGTCATGGATTTTAATGTAACAGAGTGTGGAGAGTTTATTAATACGGTTTTAGATTCTACATTGAAGCTAATATTTAGGAACCTATAACTTGTTGAATATTAGGGTAATTTCAAAAAATAGCCACAATTATATGAAAAAGCTAACAAAATTCAGTCAGTTCTGCTTTCACATGGAAAAATCTGAATTTGTGCCAGCCAGAAAACAAACCTGTTTTGTTCTGAAGGCCTGAATATTTTCCAAAGAGAACCATTAGGTGAATGCAGAACCCAAAAACTCCAGGCACACCCTCATGAGGACATCGAGCCGCATCATCTGCATTCAGCGTCACAATTGTTCCATGTGATTTCAGATCACCTCTTGCCACCACTTTACAAAAACTTTCAAGCTACAAGCTTGAGTATTAGGATAATATCAAAACATAGCCACAATTATATGGAAAAACCCCTGTCCTAAAGACTCTTTCATTTTCCCATTTCCTCTTGGCTTATTATATATTTTTTCTCTCTGCTTTCGTCTCTCTTCCTCTCTCCTTACCCTTTACTGCCTTGTTCTTTTATTCCTGCACACATGATGGTGGGTGAGGAAGCAAGTCAGGCAAGCCTGGTGGGAGTGGGAGTTCAGGCACCCACTTCCACAAGCAAACTTTAGATATTTTTCAAGGTAAAATACCATAACTATTATAGTATCCATTTATTTCTTAACCATTTAGAATGTGTAAAACTGCGCTCCCGTTTTATTAGATTCCATTCTGTCTAATTAAATTCCTACCTGCTTTTTATGTGTCACTGATAAGTTTTTGAGTATTATCTCTTAAATCCTATTTTCCCGTAAATCTTGTGATCTATTTTATTGTGATAAAGTAACTAATATTAAATTCACCATTTAAGCAATTTTAAAGCATACAATCCAGTGTTTTTTAGTATATTCACAATATATGAAACTATCACCACTAATTCCAGAAAATTATCATTACCCCAAAAAGAAACTTCATACCTATTAAGTAGTAACTTCCCATTTCCCCTCCAGTACCCCCTTGCACTGGCAACTATTAATCTACTTTCTATGAATTTCTTATTCTGGACTTTTTAGATAAATGAAATCATACAATATATCGTTTTGTTGTCAGGCTTCCTCCACTTAACATAAAGTTTTCAGGTTCATCCATGTTTAGTATTTATCGGTACTTCATTCCCTTTATGGAAGAAGAGTATTTCATTGTACAAATACATGACATTGTGTTTATTCATTCATCAGTTCATGAACATTTGGCTTGTTTACATTTTTGGATATGATGAATAATGCTTCAGTAAACACTAGTATATAAGTATCGGCTTTGAGTCTCTCTTTTCAATTCTGTTGGGTATATAACCGGAGTAGGATTGATTAATCAGGTAGTAATGCTATGTTTAACTTTTTGAGGAGCAGCCAGACTGTTTTCCTGTCTTTTTAAAAAAAATTATAGCCATCTTAGTGAATATAAAGTTATATTTCTTTGTAGTTCTTATTTACATCCACATTCATAAGGGATTTTTATCTGAAGGTATTTTTTTCTTGTGATCTATCTTTCTGACTTTGGTATAATGATATTATTGGCCTTATGGAATGCATTTAGAAGTGTTGTCTCCTCTTCTACTTTTTGGAAGATTTTGAAAGGATTGGTGCTAATTATTCTTTAAATGTTTGGTAGAATTCACCAGTGAAGCCATCTAGTTCTGGGCTTTTCTTTGTAGAAAGTTTACCAATTACAGATTCATTATCTTTACTCATTATAGGTCTATTCACATTTTCTATTTCCTTTGAAGTTACTTTTGGTAATTTGTGTCCTTCTAGGAGTTTGTCTATTTCATTCAGGTTATTTAATTTGTTGGCATACAATTGCTTATTGTATTATTTTGTAGTCCTTTTATTTGTTCTACCCTTTACAATTTAAAGATCATTCTCCTTGTTAGAAAAGAATAACTGATTGTTTGTCATTTATTCCCTTAAAATTTCATCAAACAAAATTTGTTAAACAGGACTACAGTTACTAATATTTATTGAATGATAGAATTTATAAATTTTTTACTAATGTCTATAAGCAGGTCCTTTTAACTGTTCTGTCCTTTTGTAGGGGGAGAAGGTGGGGATGGAAGTGGAAATTGCCTTTTTACAGTATATGGCACATTGAAATCTGTTTGTGTATCTCTCCTTCTCCATTTGAGAAATACTTGTATCCAGTATTTGTGTTCTCCTCCAGAATTTTCCGCCTTGGTCTTTTGATATCTGGGGCATGCTTGCTGCCATTTTTGTAAGTATCAAATGGAGACAGATGTGCCATGTCAGTAATATTTACACTGGGAAATAAGAACAAACAACAAAATGTTCCAAAAGCAACTTGACAAATAATTCACTCTTAAAAACCTTTCTATGGGTATCTGTGAAAATCAGAGTTTCATTTTTGGGAGATCTCCACTTCACATTCTGCCGGTGTTTATGCATGTGAGCATATAACTCAATAAATGTATTGAATAGACTTCACATGACTAATTCACTCCTCCTAGAAGATACTACCTCTTCCACCCACAATAGTTGATTCATGTGGGCATTCATTTATTGACTGATGCAAGAAATTTGTATTGCCATATGCCAGGAATATAAAAGTGCACAATAGAATAAATGGACAGATGCACCTGCCCTCATGGAGCTTAACGTTCTACTGAGGAGAGATAGACAATAAACAAAATTGATAGAGAAATTTGATAGCATATCAACATGTGACTAGTGGTTTGGAGAAAAAAGGAAAGGAAATCAGAAGTGTGAGAAAAATTTCACAAGGGTGTTCATTTGCTTCCCTGAAAAAGTGGCATTTGCACAAATAACTGGAAGATCTTTTCATGATATGATTCCCCTGTTGAAATTGGTATCATTATAGGTTTCCTCCTTCAAAGTCTCCCTTTGACATGCAGCACCTGCTTTCCCGCCCCCTGTCACGTACCCCATTGTTTCTTATGTGCCGCTCTTCCACCTCCGACACTTCCATGCATACTTGTCCCTTTTCCAGTCCTCATCAAATATCTTTCCATGCGCTTACTATGGAGGATGTGTCCTCCCAGCAGGAGAGACATTTGTTCCTCTTAGTGACATTTTAAAAAAGTATTTGACTTATATTGTGAGCCTCGTGTAATAGATATATGTCCTCTGAAGAATTTTCCCTTCGGGACATACTCTCCAAGTTCACCCTTCTACGTCTTCTTCACATGCTGCAATATATTCCAAAACAAGGTTGCCAATTTCTATTATTTTTATGTGGGCCATGATTCTCTACAGCTAGAGCAACCTGTCTTTTCACATGGCAAATAATAATAATAATAATTTTTAATTATTTTTAAAATGTTTTTAATTCCAGCTAATTTTGAAAAACTATTTAATCAACAAGTATTAAATTCAATACTTTATATGTACAAATAGAAAGCAGCCTACCAGTTTTTGTTTTTAATTTCCTTAAGACAGACCCCTCCTATCGAATTAGCAAAAGAGACCCTAAAATCAGAAACCTGGAGAAACCTGGTGTTCCTCCGGGATATTTATATTATCTAAAAATATTTGTACTCAAGGATTTTTTTTTAGTAATGAGAAGTCTTATGGGGGTAAGTTAAATTTTTTAAATTGGAGAGTACGGCCAGGTGTGATGGCTCATGCCTGTAAATCCCAACATTTTGGGAGGCTTAGGCAGGTGGATCGCTTCAGCCCAGGAGTTCAAGACCAGCCTCGACAACATGGTGAAACTTCATCTCTACTAAAAATACAAAAATTAGCCAGGTGTGGTGGTGCTGTAATCCCAGCTACTCAGGAGGCTAAGGCACGAGAATCACTTGAACCTGGGAGGTGGAGGTTGCAGTGAGCCAAGATCATGCCACTGCACTCCAGCCTGGGCAACAGAGCTAGACTCTGTCTCAAACAAAACAAAACAAAACAAACAAAAACAAAATTGTAGAGTAGGAGCATTCCAGAGGTTGAGTTATATTTTCTTTAGTGGGATGCAAAGAGAAAGAAAATTATTTGTTGAGCACCTTACTAGATATAAAGCCTTGTAATGAGTCTTACAATGACATAAAGAGTTGAACTTTAATGTCCCCATTTGACAATTGATATCACTGAGGCCTGAAAAGCTAAGTAACTTGCTCCAGGTCACAAAGCTATGGACCAGCAAAGCTGATACTTAAATCTGGTCTGTTTGGCTCTAAAGACCATAGTCTATTTTTCTAGTAGTTGGTGTCATAATAGAACTCAAACCGGGCTCGTCCCAGAGTAGTTGTTATAGAAATCCAAATTATAAAAGCTTACTAACCAAACAGAGAGTGACTGAGTTACGTGCAACTTGTAAAGTACACAAAGATAGTTAATTGAAGAACCATCAATATATATGAAAAAAGTAAATGCATGATTAGTGACAGGAAAAGAGCCAAAACCCAGCCCTGCCCCTCACCCACAAAAGCATAAAATGTTTTGCCCTATTACCTTATTAAATTATCTTTAAAACTTTTATTTTCACTATATTTTAGGAAGCATGACAAGTATTGCCAGTATATTTTAGGAAGCATGACAACTACACAAGTATTGAAATTGACATGGTGGTGAGAATTCAAGGTTGGTATGTGAATTATAATCCTAGTGCAAAGTGTACTGAGGGGAGTGTCTTTCCTTCCCTTTGCCAAAGTTGCAATTATCAAGCTGTTAACAGAGCCAGCTTCCCTCCTGGCTCATGCAGAGCACTGATGGGTTCCCATGGTCATGATCTCTACACAGAGTAGTTAGCTCTACTCTGAGAAAACGTGTTGCACAACCACAAACAGCATTTTTAGTCTAGGCCAGACATCATAAAAGTTCACATCCCTGATCAAAAAGGAGAAGGGATTGTGCAAGACAGCATGGATAATTTGGCATCCACAAATGCAGAATCACTGCTGGGAAACCAGCTCCATTGCTCATTTTGCTGAAAATTTGTTGTTAGTACAGTAGCCATGTAATTTACTATCCAAACCAGAACTCTTCTGAGGGGGGTGTTACTAACAAATCATCTGGGCCAGGCATGGTGGGTCACACCTGTAATCCCAGCACTTTGGGAGGTCGAGGCGGGTGGATCACCTGAGGTCAGTAGTTCAAGACCAGCCTGGCCAACATGGTAAAACCCTGCCTCTACTAAAAATACAAAAAAAAAAAAAAAAAGCCAGGCATGGTGGCAGGCACCTGTAATCCCAGCTACTCAGGAGGCTGAGGCAAGAGAATCACTTGAATCCAGGAGGCAGAGGTTGCAGTGAGCCAGGATAGTGCCATTGCACTCCAACCTGAGCAACAAGGGTGAAACTCCATCTTAAAAAAAAAAAAAAAAAAAAGGCAGGATAACAGGCCTAAACTGGGGTTGCACCGACTAGTGAAGGACTTATATTACACCAGCTATTACTATCAACTTTGTAAACGAGAAGACAAACATCTAAATGATATATATGCACTATGTAGTGTTACAATCTCCCTGGAACTGTTTCCTTTAAAAGTAGTCTCTGTGTTGGTATTAGCTAGAATCAGAGCCTATTGTGGAGGTAACAGAAGTCTGTGATTAAATGATCCTCAGAAAATATTTGTGTGCTACAAGCAAGAACACTTTTTCTGTTTTGACTTTTGTCCTAAGAATATGAACTCCAAGACAAAGGGACTAACATAGAGAAACTAAGGCTTTCACTATCTCACCTATTGTTTCACAGCATTTTGTTCACAATTGGGAACTAGAGCTTAGCAAGATCTGTTGCCACTTACCTTATTCTGTTTATTGATGAACAACTCAAGAAGAAGGATCAAATATTACTCATCTCTGCAGCCCCAGTATTTAACACAGACCTACACAATGCATCTTTTTTAAATGTATGTAGGACAGATGAAAATGGTAGGATCAAGTGTCTTAATCCTGAAACTATGGAATTTACTACATTGACTAACATTGAACTTGAAATAAATTTCCCGGCTGGACGCAGTTGTTTTGCTTTTTTGTAAAAATACAAAACAATTAGCTGGGCATGGTGGTGTGTTCCTGTAGTCCCAGCTACTCAGGAGGCTGAGGCAAGAGAATCACTTGAACCTGGGAGGTGGAGGTTGCAGTGAGTCGAGATTGCTTCACTGCACTCCAGCCTGGGCAACAGAGTGGGACTCCATCTCCAAAAAAAAAAGAAAAGAAAATCACTTCTACTTTGCTTTCATATGCAGATGTGAGAGTGAAAGCAAAGCATAGCTTTTCAAGTTTGTTCCAATATGAGCAACTGGCTGAAAAGCAACCTAAACTTTGCCAGTTACTTGTTCAGTCTGTGCAGGGCCTTTTCCTTATCTCAGCTTTGTTGTACAAGCAAACTATGACTTTTACCAGCTTATTTTTGTGTTTGCTAAGCAGAAATTATTGCAGCATTTCCTAAGATGCCTGGAATGGTAAGTATGCTTTTTGAACTCATGCTGCCAGCCATACCTTTCTTTCTCTTCAGCTACCATGGAATCAGAGTTCTAAATAAAGAGCTTACATGTGTTTTCAAACAGCCAAATTCACCTCTGTTTATTTCGCCTCCAGGAATATTCTTTGGCTAGAAGCTCTGGGAGTTTCATTTACTGATAGCTCAGTTAAGTCAGACAATGACATACATCCAAGATGGCCTTTGGGAAGAATTCAAATAGAGCTGCTTCAAATTCTTTTTAGAAGTAGACAGGACATAAATACATATATTTTTGATAGCAACTATGGAAGAATTGTGGCATTATATCATTTTTGGAATGAAGTGGGATATAAATAAACAGATAACTATGCAGAGTTCCATCCCAGATATTTGTTTACAAGGAAAAGGTTGGATCCCTCCAATTCATCCTCTTTATTGCAGCCAGTGTTATTTTCCTAAAGTGAGAAACTGATCCTATCTCTGCTCTGCCTCCAATTCTTCCAAGCCTCTCTTCCTCTGCCAGTCCACATTTCTTACCTCCATTTACAAAGCCTGGGGTCCTCTGTAACTTCCCGGACTCTCCTCTCACCAGTCACATGCACCTTCTACTCCTACATAGTGACATGGATTGATAGTGCAAATGACCCCCGTTCTCCATCCCTCCACACCCTTTGCAAACTGACTGTGCAGCAGTGACTTCTTTTCCCCCTCTGTGAATCTGCACTGGCTTAGTGACTTGCTTTGCCTTATGGAAGGTTGATGGTGTGCTGGTTCTAAATTCAGTCCTCAAGCAGCCTTATGCTCTCTCTTAGAACCCTGCCTCCACCATGCAAACAAGTCCAGGCCAACTTGGTGGAGGAGAAGAGTTCACACAGAGCAGTGACAAGTCATCCTGACTGAGGCCATCTTAAACCCGTCCGCTCCCAGCTTCAGGCCAGTTGATCACAGATTCAGCAGAGAACTCAGCTTAGATCAGCAGAGTACAACGAGATCAGCAGAAGCATCCAGCCTACTCAGAGATACATGAGAGAGAATGGATGATTGTTGTTCAGCAACTGAATTTGGGACGGTTTGTTACACAACGTTTTGTGGCGAAAAGATAACTGATACATATACCAAACTACTTATAGTGCCTGAATAAAAATATTCTTTCACCCCATCACTCTTTTTTTTTTTTTTTTGAAAAAATATTTTTTTAATTTATGTATTATTCATGGGGCACAAGTACAATTTTGCTGCATTAGCACTTTGGGAGGCTGAGGCGGGCAGATCACAAGGTCAGGAGATTGAGACCACGGTGAAACACCGTCTCTACTAAAAAATAGAAAAAAATTAGCCGGGCACAGTGGCGGGCGCCTGTAGTCCCAGCTACTCGGGAGGCTGAGGCAGGAGAATGGTGTGAACCCGGGAGGCGGAGCTTGCAGTGAGCCGAGATTGTGCCACTGCACTCCAGCCTGGGCGACAGAGCGAGACTCGTTTCAAAAAAAAAAAGTATATATGTGTGTGTATATATATATATATATGTATATATGTATATATATATATATAAAAAACATTGTGATGAAGTCAGGGCCTTCAGTATATCCATCACTGGAGCAATATACATTGTACCC